TGGGGACAGGAAGGCACAAAGTGTTAGAGCATAAAGCCAGGCTGTGCGTTTCCAGCAGGAGGGAGAGTCTGACCCTGCAAACAGCGTGCTGCATGATGTGTGCTGGTGCAGCTACACATGGGGATGTGTCACCTGCAAAATAGGGGCTGCAGAGGTGAGGGTGTAGAAATATATCCCAGACGGGACTGAGGCCTGTCAGCACCCAAGGCTCCTGCCGTGGCACAAAACCAACCACGTGGAACACACTCCCCCAACCCGAAGACATGGCTCTTGTTCAAAACACCAGCTCCTGCCAAAACGCCACAGGGGAAATTCTTATTGCCTCAGAATGCAGGCAACAACGTCGATACGACGGCCTCTGTCAAACGCTGTTATTCAGTCAGCCGCGGATGAGTTACAGGCTGACGAAGCCTTGTGGGAGTGCAGCTGCCCCTCACCCAGAACAGAACACAAAGCCTTTAAGGCAATTAAGGCGATTGCTGAGGTTGCAGGATTTCACAGAGCTGTCAGGAAGATCAGCCTCCCTCATTTCATGGCTTGAATTAAGCGTCTGTGAAATCTGGCACCGGGAGGTTTTGGCATGAAGTCGAGTGCTCCACCGAACACCTGCAGAACCCGCCGTGCTGGTGTTTTTCACAGAGACGCCAGAGAGGGCTAAAGAAGGCTTTGTCTGGGAGCAGGGGCTCACTGCAGGGGCCACCTCTGTCTCAGAAAGGGCAGGAAGGAGGCAGCGGCGGTCAAGGCACTAGGCTGAAGCTCAGAGGGCTGCTCTCAACTCTCAGCTCAGGTTTCATCCGCAGGAGCATGGGCAGGTCACTGTACCTCAGTTTCCCATCTGTAAAATGGGATAATACTCCCCTGGGTGATGAGGGTTCTGCAAGTGCCTGGACGTTGTGGGTCCGGCTTGTCGGCCTCGATCCAACACAGACCTGAGCAGGTGCTTCATTCTAAGCGTGAGAGTTAGTCCCAGGGGCCGTGTCCACACAAGCAGGGGTGCGCATTTGCAGCAGCACAAATTTGTGCTGCTACTTTGTGCCACTGTTCATGTCCCTGCCCATGCGCTTTGCAGCGGGACACATTGTCCTGCCACTCCATGTGCTGCAGCGGGAGCTGACTGGGGCACAGGATGCCTTGTGCCCCAGCCAGACAGGGAGAGGCACATGGAGACAGGAGCAGGCAGCCTTTGGTTGCCTGCTCCCCTGGCTTTGCACGCTGCAGAGCCCGTGCACTGAGGCACCCTGCGCCTAGGCCAGCCACTCCCCAGCTGGCTGGGGCACAGTGTGGCTCCAGGCAGGGGAGCAGGCAGCCCTGAGCTACCTGCTCCCCCATCTCGAGGCACACTGCGCTGGGGAGAGGAAGAGCAGGCAGCCCCGGGTTACCTGCTCCCCTGTCTCCACATTTGCCCCTGTGC